ACATCCGGCTGTCCCTACCTAATTAAGAGCAGTGGACTCTAATCAGGAGAACTGGGTTTGATTCTCCACTCCTCCACATGCAGCTGCTGGGTGACCTTGGGTCAGTCACAATTTCTTTCAGAGTTGTTCTCTCAAGAGCAGTTCTCACAGAGCTCTCTCAGCCCCACCTACCTCAGAGGGTGTCTGTTGTGGAAGGGAGTGGAAGGGAAGCCACTCTGAGACTCAGAGTAAAGGGTGGGGTGTAATCCAATCTCCTCCTCCTTCTCCTCCGATTGGCTTAGGCAGCTGTAAATTGTATTTTATGTATTTAAATTTTGAAACCTCTTTGTGGGATCTGTAATTTTACCACTTTTGTATGCCACCCTGAGCCCTATCTTTTAGGGGAGGGTGGCCTAAAAGTCTAATTTAATAAATAAATAAAATGTCATGTGGCTTCCTACCACATGCTTGCAGCTGTCACCTGGGAGAAGTTGAAGAATGCTGCTCTAAATGCTATGCAAAAGGAAGGACCTCTCTTCAAATTTATGGCCCTGCGTAATATGAGGATAAACCCCCCTCATTCTCTGGGATTATGTGATTACAGAAGAGATTTCAAACATGAACAGTTTTCAGCTTACACAGGCAGACTTTTCATAACTTCTGGCTCATATTTGCTCAGAGAAATGGGCCGTCTTCAGTTGTATCAGCCATTGTTTGTTTCCTATGGATTATCTGTCACTAAAAAAAACCACCCCAGAACATTCCATTCACATTTATTACTTCCTGTTTCGAGAATCCTTAAGAGGTCCTTAAGGAAATTATTAGCACTTGCGCCCCTTCGGAATTCATTTTATTTTATTTTTTAAAGCAGAAAGGGGGGGCTGAAGTGCCTAGATTAAAAATCTTTGAAAAAGTTACTTGCAAGTAAATACCATTGAAAACAAGATTTTGTTCTGAGAAAACAGAATTAAGATTGGTAATACAGCCTCGACCCAGATGCCGTGCTTTTTTCCCTCCATTTACAGGGACGGTTCCCCTTTTGTAGTCTCCATCCTTACTAAATCCCTGCCCCAATTCTGGTCTCTGTTCGGGTTTTACTTTGAAAAACGTTGATGTGAGACTTGTGAGTCCTCAGAAGCATCATGGTGCAGAATACTATGTCGAAGTGAGAATGTGAGCAACCTTGCCTGTAGTACACACGTACATAAATGCTTGCACATCAACACGAATGCAACCATACAATGCACAGAGTTTCATTCAGACACATCAGCTTCTGTTACTACACTGAGATGCTGTGCACCTCCATCCGCCTGAGACCTGTTGAATGGGCTGGAGTGCCTTCTGGCATCGTGACCGCTTGTCACCAAGTAACTACAACTGGCTTGAGAGCAGTGGCTTTTACGGAAGGAGAATGGCTACTGGGTCAATTTACCGCAGGGAAGGCGAGAACACCCGAATCAATCTGTTCCTTGCACATGAAGTTCTGGAGGGAAGCTGGGAGGGAAGGGGGAGGAGAGGCAATAGAGACAGAGCACTGAAAACGATGCAGAAAAGGACAATGCAGATGAAGATATCAAAACAGTAAATTCAGGGCAGACAAAATACAAGACATGCCATTCACTAAAAGATGCCATTATGTCCAGAGACTCAGAAGGCTTTAAAAGGGAAACAAATGCACAGGGGGTGCCAAACTAGCTAACTTAGGTCCCGGTCACACGGGCTGGAAAATGCGGGGGTGGGGGGAGCGTGGCTGTTTGCCCCGGAGCAAAATAACGCGCGGCCGCCCGATCACACGTCTTGTCGAGGTCCCGTGGTTGGGGGGTGAGGTGCCAATCACACGGCTATCCTGCAGCGTGGCAAAGAAGCGGCACGGCGCGATCACAGCAGCAATCGCTAGGCGCCGCTTCCATGGCAAATGGGTGGGGTTTTTTACCAAAGTTTGTGCGCATGCGCCGTTGGGCGCTATTGCGCATCCTCCGGAGACTTGGAGGAAAAAAAAACCCCTCGTTTGCGAAGGAAGATCAGCGGGCGCCGGATGCCACGGGATTCCACCGGAAATGCGATCAGACGCCTACCCTTGCCCTGTGGTGTCCGGAAACCAGTACCTCGTAAGTACTACTTTTTTTGTCCGCATCTTCAGCGGGACGCCACGGGATAGCCACAAGAGCACTATGCTTCCCAGATGTTGTGGTGTGATCGCGCCCAGAAAATCCGCCTATCATCCGTATCTTGAGCGTGGCAAATGCTCCGTGTGACCGGGGCCATAGCTCAGTATAAAGCCCCCCATGCATTCAGAAGGGCACACAGAACAGAGAGCCTAGTGGTTAAGAGTAAGTCCCACAGCAGCTTCAATATTCACACACACCCCATCCAACCCCAATCTGAAGTAGTACCATTTAGCCACCGGCTAACATGGGTGGCTGCTGATCATCTGTCTTCGCTCCCGAGATTCCCACAACAGATCAAGGTGAATGAAACTGGGAAGATGCCACTCTTATCAGCAGAAGGGTCGCAATAAGTAGCAAGGGCCAAGATGAGAGAGATCATAAAGAGGCGGAAGGAGAATGTTCAGGATCAAGGCCCACAAGGAGCGAGAGAGACCAAGAAGCCCCAAAGGAGTCAGAGAATTGGGAGGAGAGTTACAAGCTGAGAGCAGTGTGTGTGTGTGTGTGGAGACAAACCGAGACAGACTAGACGGCTGATGGCATCCAAAGCAGAAAACAGGACAGTGGGATGGGCACGAAGAAGGCTGAGCTGACTGGGGAAAGTTTTCTAGGAATTCTGATGAGAGCCATCTCTGGAGAGTGGAGTGTGTTTGAAAAGGAAAGGAAAAACTTGGAGAACAAACTTGTTTGAGGAGAAAGGCAGGAGAGACTGAACGGCAGGCTGGAAGAAGAGGCAGGGCGGTGGTTTCATGTTAAGGGGAGATGTACTGGAGCATGTTTGAAATGAGAGGTTAAATGCGGGGGGTGGGAGGGGGAGCCAAATTGATCTTCTAAGTAGTTCAGCCTCACATTGTGCTTTCTAAGTGAAAACAAGTATGTAGCTCTTATAGTCCAAGGTCATGAACAAGGAAAATATACAGAATGTAGTATTACTCCAAATATTAGCAAGCCAACAGTTCTTATCACATAGCCTTGGTAAGTATTATCCTGGTATTATCTTGTTCCTGCTACCTCCAACGCAGTTCAGTAGTGCTAGCTGGTACCAACTTGGTTCTGCAAAATAAATAGCAATTGCTGGTGTAGGCAGATGCAACGTTTAGAGTTATGCAGAGTTCTTCAGGTTCCTAACTCTGCCCTGTCTTGTACAAACCAAGCAATGTCCAGAGAGTAAAGGTATTTTTCAGTGTTGCTCCACTGCTGTAAAACTCTTCTGTCCAAAAAACCCCACCAAAGTATGAAGACCACTCTTAAGATACTCAGTAGTGATTTTGCTAACTAGGGTAAAAAGATACGGGGGTTTCAGTATTCCTGATGCTTCAGTTTAATTTTTGGCTTAGATCCCCCCCCCCCCCGGAAGGTTTTCCATGAGCCGAGGAATTTGCCCACATGGAATGCGGCTTTCTTGCCTTCCCCTTCCCACAGCAGCCTTAAATGTCTCCCAAGATCCACTACACCCGGGAACAAGACTTGCTTGGGGAGGGAGGGGCACATTTCAGGATGCTGCAGGACAGGAGCAGTGAGAAAGTTGTCCTCGACAAGCATAAATCCCTCCAGTGTCAGAAAACCTTAAGGGGAGTCAATATATGAAAATATATATTAGCATATTACTTTTAGAAACGAACACCACCAGACAATGCTTCTGTGATACAATGGTGGTTTGTGATCTGCTTTTATTTAGAAGAGGAGGAGATTGGATTTATGCCCCGCCCTTCACTACCCAAAGGTGTCTCAGAGCGGCTTACAAACCCCTTTCCCTTCCCCTCCCCATAGCAGACACCCTGTGAGGTAGGTGGGGCTGAGAGAGCTCTTGACAGAAGCTGCTCTTTTTCAAGAACAGCTCTTATCAGAACTACGGCTTGCCCAAGGTCATCCAGCCAGGTGCAAGTGGAGGAGTGGGGAATCAAACACGGCCCTCCCAGATTAGAGTCCGCGAACTCAACCACTACACCAAACTGGCCACTTGTTTGGTGGGGATGGCTCATGGCTAACACAAACGGAAACACACGTACTGACACTATTTATGACAGGCTTCAGAAGACTCTTGTAATTGATCCCAAAGCCTGTCCCCCAAACAGATGGGAGATCAGTAGCTGCAAGCAGACCTGAGTCCGGGAAACACTAACCTGGAAGTTTAGGCCAGGTGTAGGTTTTGCACCTGAGAAGTAGTAGCACTCCCTATAGTCTCAACAGACAGACTAGTGACAGTGCTGCTAGTACAGTGCTCTTCAGCCAGAGGTCAGGGCCCTCTGTTGTATGGCTTTTTAAAAACACCTACTACTAGTGTGCAAGGTCAGAGAGCAAGGGTGCAACATACTCTGGTTTCATTTGCGCGTGCATGTACTAAGGAGGAGGGACAGGACAGGACAGTAAGGTAAAACCATTCAGCAGTGGCGAGGATTCCCTTTTAACACGGGTATGTTCAGGAATTCGGGCTCCTCCTCTTCCTGTCACAAGACTGATAGGTGATTTTCTGCCAGAAGGTTGCAGCTCAGTGGGTCCCTCTGCCACTTGGAGTTAAAAGGTGGGGAGGCAGCTTATGAGTCTGGAAAGGACGAAGACCACCAAGCTAGTAGACTGACCGGCTATTTTTAATAAAGGGAGGCTTGCATGCTCCACACCTGACATGTCCAGTATAAACATGTGCAGTCTTTGCACATGTTTTTGAAACCCAGCAGCACATTGACTTTTATGCCTCTTCATGACTGGGCAACAGGAAACCCTAATACTGTCCTGGTTTCAGCTGTACAGGCCAAAAGCTTGGGCTTCATATGCTCACCGCTGACATATCTTGGATCGTCTTCGTTCAAAAGAGAACTGTTCCAATCATGGATCAGGAGTAATACACTTACAGTCAAAAATAGGTTTTTACTGGAATGCTTTTTAGGTCACATTCATAAGCAATAATACTGAGAACATGGAGCTTCTGGATCCCTTATGACAAGTACAGAAAATCTGCTTGCAAAATCAAGTTGGTTTTAAAACATAAATGTGAGGGAAATGTTGACATCCTTGCAGTCATTCAACTGAACAGTTAGAGTTTTCTTAAAACAGTGATATCGACATTATGTTCTTCATCCCACCCCCTGCTCTTCCACCACTGACCTCTGCCAGGAGTGGTAGGAAATTGTTTTAAATTATAAATAACATCATTAGCAGGTAGCAATATATACAATGTAAAAAAAAAAGAAGAGATAAATAAATAGGCAAGTTTCTGGTTCCAAATGGAGCTTCCTCCAACAGACGGATGGGTGAGGCTTTATATTAAAAGTTGACACGTTAACTTTTGGCTGGAGAAGGAGGATGACTTGGTCAGGTCCTCTGAACGCCCTCGTCAGAATGGGTCACTTGCCTCCGAGGAAAGAAACATTTCAAAGCTATATACACGTTGCGTTCCACTGAAAGCACGCAGCCACTTGCTTCGCAGTCATCCCAAAGCCATGTCCACAGCCAACTCTTGTTAGCAAGTCAAGTGTTGTACTTGAGGATGATGGGAACTGCACAAGACAGAGAAACATGCATGAGCTGCCAACCAACCAATTTCTCCCTCTGTTTTTAAGACTATTCTTCTCTATCAGTGAAGCACTCTCCCCAAGGTGGACCCAGAGCACATTCTTAAGCATACTGTTTGTGCCCCATGGTGAAGCAGTAGAACATCATACACGATAGCTGCTCTGGACCTCTTGAGGTTGCCTGAACATCCTATCACAGAATCATAAGAGTTGGAAGGGCCCTCCAGGGTCATCTAGTCCAACCCCCTGCACAATGCAGGAAATTCACAAATACCTCCCCCCCCATACACCTCCAGTGACCCCTGCTCTCAAATGCTTCTTCAACTGGGCCAAACAATCACAGTGCAACTCTACCCTTAACAGAGTTACAGCTTCAAGAGGGAATTAGATCAGCATATGGAGCAGAGGTCCATCAGTGGCTATTAGCCACGAAGTATGGATAGGAACTCTCAGGCTGGGGCAAGTGATGACGCTCTGTATTTTTGGTGCTTGGGGGGGGGGAGGCAACAGGAGGAGGGCTTCTAGTGTCCTGGCCCCACTGATGGCCCCTGGTATTTTTGGCCACTGTGTGACAGAGTGTTGGACTAGATGGCCCACTGGCCTGATCCAACATTGGCTTCACTTAAGTACAGTGAAGTCTATGAACCTGATTGGCCCTCTCCCCAATGGATACCAACAAGGAGGAGATTTTCTCACATGACTGACCCTCTCTCCAACCTCTCCCCCCCCCCCGGCCAGTCTCTCCAGGACCATCTATCTGAAAGCCAGACTACAGATGCAACCCTGTCCAGAGAGCTTCTGAATAGCTACTCAGTCTATTTACTGCGCTTGACAGAATATACATCAGTTACATCTGAGCTGTGGGCTCATTCCATCCTGGTGCAGTAAACATACCTGGTTACGATCCCCCAAAATAAATGTGCGTTCTTAAACGGAGAACCAAGAGAACAGATCACAGACTAAGCCCATGAATACTTGGGTTCTGCCAGTGTTCCCTCTAAGCTGAGTTGGTGTGAGCTAGCTCAGTTTTTTAGCCTCCGGCTTCACTCAGAAAGGAGGGCTCCAGAGCAAACTTAATTTATGCAGGAGCCAAATCGCCCGCTCACAACTTTAAGAGCAGTAGCTCACAAAGTAGAATTTTTGCTCACAAGACTCCACAGCTTAGAGGGAGCTTTGGTGGGGATATCCACTCCCTCCCTTAACAGTATTCACCGATACTCCTTTCTTACACACATCTACCTTGTCCCTCATTTAGCCATCAGTTACCATCTGCCACATATAATATATAAATATATATCTGAGTGCTAAATAGAGTGGAATTTGACACTGAGTAAGAAACACCTCAATTGAATGGTCTCAGGCACAGCTGAAATCTATTTCTAGCCTTGTGCCTTCTCTGCATATGAACACAAGTCAATCCTGCACCAACGGACCCCAAATTCTGTTCCAGACACCACTAAATTCTGCAACCTAAATAAATTATGCAAACTAAGGCTGAAATCCACTATTGAGGAAGTACATCACACAGAACTCAGTGGGCCTCATAGGACCGTAATGTAAGAACTGCATTATCTGACCAGTTTTGTATAATTTGGCTTTTCCCGGTCACAAGGAGATGACCCAAGAAAACCAAGGTGAACCTTACAAGTACTATATTCTTGAGTCTGTTGATCTGAAAAAGACTCAATTTAAACCCACAATCCTCTTTACAGGGATACCACTGGCTAAAGGGGATTTTTTTGGCAAACCCTAAACTAGTAAATCCGGAAAAGATGGTGGAAGGCATGTGATGCAGGAACTTCACTGAAGCTAAGTAAGGTATCGGTGGGAGATCCCTTGGTAAATTGCCTGCTCTTGCATTGAGCAGCAAGGCAGTTGGGTCTAGATTGTCTCTGAGGTTCCTTTCAACTCTGTGGACTCCCAACTGCCCAGGGGTACGGTAATCAATTGCGTCAAAGAACAAGAATGGAAGGATTCAGGGCTTTTTTGTAGAAAAAGCTCAGCAGGATCTCATTAGCATAATAGGCCACTCCCAACAGCAGAAACTCATTAGCATATTAGGCCACACCCCATGCCTTCCCTTGGCTTTTCGTGTGGTCATCCAGCCACACCCACCTTTTGCTTCTTATTCTGTTTACCTTGTTGTCAAAACCCTGGGCTTTTTTGTAGCAGGAACTTCTTTGCATGTTAGGCCACACACCCCTAATGTTTCTGCTGTTAGGTGTGGCCTATTATGCTAATGGGTTCCTGCTGGGCGTGGCCAACTCAGGAGCCAGCCGGAACTCCGTTCCTGTGCGTTCCTGCCCAAAAATAGCCCTGGAAGGATTATACAGGTTTTCTTCAAGGGAGCAAAACCAAGGACGTCCACTTGGGCAGGCTGAGGTTTCTTTGAGACCTGGTCTCTTCAAAGAAGCGATCCAGCTACAGAGAGCGCATCACGCACTCTGTATGACTCACTCACCAATAATCACTAGGAGAACCGCAACAGCAACCAGAGCCACAATGACCTTCATCTGCAGAAAGAACAAGGGAATAATAGCACAGTGCTCCCGGTATTCACTGAGGTTTGTATATATCATCAGAGTAACCCTTAGAACAGCTCTGTAAGGAAGGCCAATATTATTTCCCCCATTACTGCAGACAGGGAATGAGATATGAACCGACAACATCCTGGATCATTCCCTTTGGGCCAAACTAGACGATATGTGCAACACAACCGATTCACAGACACATGACACCAGCAAACTTGATGTTCCCAAGCGTGCCAGGGCCCAACTCAACTCGTGAGTACAGCAAAGGAAGCACTTCAAGCCTTCCCTCCTGTGCTGTTTACCGGAGTCGAAAGGGCCATGGGGCTGTACGCATACTCAGTGTGGAATGCAGAGCCCCACAGTGGAGCATACAAGCCCCCACCCCCCCATTTCTGCTTGGGAAAACGGCACAGGAGGGAAGCCATAATCCCCTCCCCTGCAAATCTGGCCCTGGCCCACTTGGGAATGTTAAGTTTCCCAATGGCCCTTGTGTCTGCAGCAAGTCAGATCAGGTCACAAACCTGACTTGTATCACAAGTATCATCTCGTTTTGGTCCTTAATCACTCTGCGAGACCAGTCAGCCAGACTACTGCTTCCCAACTGCACACAGAGCTATACAGCTACACTGGGAGCAATGGAATCTAGCTCCAAGCTTCACAGTTATAATGGTAAATGTTCACAGAACCAGCCAAATAACTCCAAACACAATGATGTGAAGTTGCAAAATAAAAAGTACACTGGTGTGCAGCAGTGTTCCCTCTAAGCTGAGTTAGTGTGAGCTAGCTCGCCGTTTTTTAGCCTCCGGCTCACACATTATTGTCTCGGCTCAGGAAGGATGGCTTCAGAGCAAACTAATTTATGCAGTAGCCAAATTGCTTGCTCACAACTTTAATGCCGGTAACTCACAAAGTAGAATTTTTGCTCACAAGACTCCACAGCTTAGAGGAAGCATTGGTGTGCAGTACAGTAGGATGAGTTCTAATCCTCCCCCAACTACGATGCTCCAAACATATACCAGCCATGAGGCTTTAAGTCAATGAGCAGATGAGAAAGTAAAAGGGCCTGCTTGGATTCAACTGCATTACAAAGAGCAGAACCTGGTCTCCTGGGGAAAAACTGAACCCCTTCTTAATTTCAGTGCATGCTGAGGGTCACAGCACTGTAATTCCTGAATGAACAGTATTATGCTCTAAGTTCACCCACAGTAGCATTGCCTTTAGTGACACGGAAGGAATTCCCCTCTCCACACCTCACCTTGCAGCCGCGCCACCACATTTGTCTTCGGAGCTGTTTAGATCGGTTGCTAAAAGCTGTTGCGTTGTCCGATAAGCTCTCTACATTAGAGAAATCGCAAATCAGAGAGAGAGAGAGAGAGAGAGAGAGAGAGAGAGAGAGAGAGAGAGAGAGAGAGAGAGAGAGAGAGAGAGAGAGAAAGAGAGAGTTAACATTTTACAAATCCAGAAGCTTTCTGCAGCTCTGTTTTGACTTTTTTAAAAGCAAAAGCCAATCATATGTATTCTTGCAGAACTTTTGCAAATTTGAGATTATCTATTTCCCTAAGGAGGCACACAGCCAGATCCTGTGGTTACGTAAACGATTAACAGATGCCATCTCAAGAATGTCCAGGAGCAATTAAAACTTCTTGCACTGGCATATACTGGCAGAGGGACATAAGAACATACTAGATCCCTTCCAGTCCAGCTTTCGACCAGGCCATGGGACAGAAATGGTTCTGGTCGCCCTTACAGACGATCTCCGGAGGCATCTGGATTGAGGTGGTACGGTGGTGTTGATATTGTTAGATCTGTCGGCGGCATTCGACACAGTCGACCATCGACTACTGTTCCACCACCTCACCGATACCAGGATACAGGGGATTGCCTTACAGTGGCTCTCCTCATTTCTTCAGGATCGGGGACACAGGGTGGCAGTTGGGGAACGACTGTCCAGAAGGCACCCGCTATTGTGCGGAGTGCCCCAAGGTGCAGTGCTTTCCCCAATGCTGTTTAACATTTATATGCTCACCCTCGTGCAGATGGCCTGGAGACATGGGCTGGGTTGTCATCAATATGCTGACGATACCCAGCTCTATCTGTTATTGGACGGCCAGTCAGACTAGCCCGGGAGATCTGGACCTGGCACTGAAAGCCGTGGCTGGTTGGCTTAGGCTGAGCCGACTTAAACTGAATCCGACGAAGACGGAGGTCCTGTACTTGAGTCGGAGCGGTCCAGGGTTGGGGATCCCTCTCCCAAACTTCGATGGGGCACCGTTGGTGCCAGCGCCAGAGGTTAGGAGTTTGGGAGTGCTCCTGGACACCTCCTTAACGATCGAGGTCCAGGTAGCAGCCACTGCAAAGTCAGCGTTTTACCATCTACAGCTGGTTAGACAGTTGGCTTCCTTCCTTGAACGCAATGACCTCGCAACAATGATCCACGCACTGGTCACCTCAAGTTTGGATTATTGTAATGCTCTCTACATGGGGCTGCCCTTGTCCCAAATCCAGAAGCTGTGGCTGGTGCAGAATGCAGCAGCGAGGCTGTTATTGTGTCTTCCTATGCGGGAACACATCCAGCCCGCCCTAAAAACCCTGCACTGGCTGCCTATAACATACCAGATACGGTTCAAGGTGCTGGTTCTTACCTTTAAAGCCCTATATGGCCAGGGACCTGCTTACCTGAGGAACCGCCTCTCCCCGTATGTACCCCAGCGAACACTAAGATCGGGCTCCAAAAATCGCCTGGTTCTTCCGGGGCTTAAAGAGGCCAAGTTGGTTACAACGAGGGCCAGGGCCTTTTCGGTGGCAGCCCCTCACTGATGGAACAAGCTCCCAGAGGACATCAGGGTCCTGTGGGACCTTTTACAGTTCCGCAGGGCCTGTAAAACGGAGCTCTTCTGCCAGGCGTTTAAGTATGGTGCCGCCTTGATTTTATGGCCCTGGCCTGATTACGAACTGTACCAACAGTACCACCGGCCCCACCAACTGAGGCTTTATAGCCAGGCGGGAGTTCAATGACACCATTCAGTGGAAGTAGATAGCAGAAGATCGCCATCTTTTAATGCAAGTTATGTCTAAGCAGTATGATTTTATAGTGATAGTTTTATTGGAATTTTAATGTATATTTATTATCCTCCCACTGTTGCCCCTCCCCCCCCCAAGCACCAAGAATACAGAGCATCACTTGCCCCAGAGTCCCTATCTATACCTTGTGGCTAATAGCCACTGATGGACCTCTGCTCCATATGTTTATCCAATTCCCTCTTGAAGCTGCACATGCTTGTAGCCGCCACCACCTCCTGTGGCAGTGAATTCCATGTGTTAATCACTCTTTGGGTGAAGTACTTCTTTTTATCTGTTCTAACCTGACTGCTCAGCAATTTCATTGAGTGCCCATGTTGGAGACGAGCAGAGCTTAGTTGCTATCATTTTGAAACTCTGTTCTTCATACCACTTTCTTGAAACATACCACATACCATGAAACTCTAAAATCTGATGAGGCACTGTGTGACCAACCACTGCCAACCTCCTGCAACAGTAGGCAGCTTGGGTCTCATGCTACTAGAACACGAACTGAAGAGAAATAGGAGGCAGTTTGTCTCAAGAAAGTGTGGTAGAAGCCCCTTTACATGTATTTCAACCTCTGGTAGTGGTACCTCAGGTCTAAAGCCATCAGATCTGTTACCTGTCAGCAAACAGCTACATGGCGTAAAACATGTACCACCAGGGTTTGTGTATGTACCCTAAAAGGCAACCAAAATTCAATGCTCGAAATACAGTCAAATGGACCACATAAAACTGATCTGTGTTCCTATTATGTGCAGTACATACCTAGGATCAAAGCCTTGGCAATGCTTTTGGTAAGGATCAAAGTTGGAAAAACATTAGAAGAAGAAGAGATTGGATTTATACCCCGCCCTTCACTTGGAGTCTCAGAGCGGCTTACAAACTCCTTTCCCTTCCCCTCCCCACAACAGACACCCTGTGAGGTGGGTGGGGCTGAGAGAACTCTGGCACAAACTGCTGTTTTTCAAGGACAGCTGTGCCAGAGCTTGTGACTGACCCAAGGTCACATCAGCAGGGGCAAGTGGAGGAGTGGGGAATCAAACCGGTTCTCCCAGATTAGAGTCGGCGCACTTAACCACTACACCAAACTGGCTCACTACACCAAACTAGCATTCCTAGACTCTAGTAGGAAATGTTAGGAGTCAGTATCAGGTTTAAGCTCCATCCCAGTATGTGAATTTGGTGGTGGGGAGAAGATGCCACAGAGGGCTCATGCCATGCTCTTCAGAATCCCGTCCCAAGACTAGAAGGGAGAAGGAGCCCAAGAGTGCCAGTCCGTGAATGCTAAACATTCCTATCTGACTCCACAGAATCCTATCCCGAGACTGGAATGCAGGCGGAGCCCAAGACAGCCAATCCGGGGACACCAAGCATCCCTACCTGACTTATCCTGCAAGTCGTCCAGCCGCTCTCCCCTTTCTATCACCTTGGTAATATTTTCTTGCATGACATCAATGACTTCATCGACTTGGTTCTGGACACTGGATGAAACAAAAACCATTATAAATTATGTATCCATGGTAGTAACCATTACAAGTGATTAATACCAGTTCAGAGCATTTCAGGAGCAGGGTGGGAGAAGTCCTTCAGTGCCATGGCATTCAACCCAGAGTCCAAGACCTTCAACTGAGATCACAGAGCCCCATCTCCTAGACTGTGAGCCCTTTAAAAACCCAATTTTTGCTGTCTACTGGAAGGCCTTGCTTCTAATGCACAAGTGTAGAGAGCAAGGGTGCCCTGCCTCCTCCTCCCCCTCTTTGGATGCATGCCCTCTTAAGCAGCAGGACAGTGAGGTGAGGTCACTCAGTGATGGAAAGCATTCCTCACTCAGTGATAGAAAGCATGGCTCCAATCCTTGGCTCGTTCTTTACTATGGTACACCTGCTGGTGCCCAGTTTATGTTTTCTGTTCCTTGGTCTGGTTACCATGGTCCTGGCCTTGAAGCCAGTGACATCATAGTTTTAGCTCACTCTCTTCCTGTCATGTGGCTCGGATGTCCTACGACTTCCGGATGGGCTTGGTGGATCTCATAACCAGTGGGTCCTGAAAGGCTGAAGACCACTGTCAAAGTAAGCCACTCCCACACTCAAAACATTGTTGTGTGTCAATAATGCATACAACTGGGAGACCTACTTCTGGAATCTCCCAGCATACGTCAGCCTCCATGGAGGAATCATTCCCTTTGGGACATTTGCAGACATGGGAATAATATTCCTCTGGTTTTTAAGTTGCAACACAAAAAAAGCTCCAAATTTAAGTACACTGGCCACTTTTACTTTGGCAATATTACATGTGACTTCTTTAATTCCTGACTATACTCATGGGGATAGTGAAGATCTGGTTCCCCACAGAGTGGGGCTGGTGCTTGAATATAGAGTTCCTGGGTGACTTTGGGAGCGTAACAACAGTAACCATATCATACTGGGCCACAAGGGCACAGTGATCAGAAAGAATGCAGATCTTACTTTTCTTACGTGGTATTTCTTTAGCTTCAGGCTCCAGTTGGATGCACTGGAAAGTCTCTTTCCTAGCTTCTGACCATTTATAAAAGATGCTTTCATTTCCAGGTTTGTTTGTTTTTTACCACTATGGGGACATTTTTAAAACATACCTTATTAAAGAGCAAACCCCAGCATTCCCAGGGCAGTGCAGCGGTGCCTCAATTACAAAACACCTATGGCCAAGCTTGCTTGAACATTAGGCAGTGGGCAAAACCCTTCTGTTCCCTCTTCCTTTTGGCTGGACTTGGGAGCTTCCCCACCCAGAATTTTCATGATGATAAAATGCTGCTGGTTCCAAAATACTGATATTATTGCTGCTCGTACGCACCTTGATTTGAGTTCCCTCAGGAATTTTGCTAAGGAGCATGGGACGCAAATTTTTCAAATTAGCATAAACAGCCTCTGCATGCTTTCAAAAATCCCATTTCAATTCGATGCCTGATAGGTGGTTTTGTGTGTTGGACATGTTGCCTAAGAGTGAGGGGCTGTAGGTCAGCTGAACCCCAATTCTCCTCTCACCTCAGCCAATAAATATCGCTAGCAGCCTTAAATAAAACTGGCTCCTGCCCCCAATTTACAGTGGGGAGACATAATAATCATGACCTACCTTACACAGATGTTGTGTGGATTATTGAAATGCTCATGAAATGCTCATGAAATGCACATGAAATGCTCTAAAGTCTCTAATGCATATAAATGCTAAAGACTGCTATTGCTAGATGTTTTCTAGTAAATGATAGCCTAGTTCCTGCAATGGTGGTAAACCTGTATTTGGGCGGCAGACTACAGCTTAGCCATCTCCATAATGGTGGAAGTTAATGCGCAGGGTACATTTTTGCAGAATTGGTACAGTGCAGACACAGATTGGTACAGTGCAGACCTCAGTAAGAATTAGGCTGAAATAACACGCCTAACAAGGCCTCCACAAGTTTATTCCACCACTTTTGGTGGGACTGAGAGCTCACAAGAGAGGTGGCAACTTATTCCAAACTTGCACAGATACTTTACGATCTCTAAAACCCAACTCGATATTCATTATTCTAATGGTCTGAAAGGTTGAATAAATTAACTGCCTCCCATTATAAAAGGCATCCCAATTCCAATTATTTAAAGCAGGAGTCAAATAAGTGTTAAGAGGGTTTAGCAAAGGGCGGGAGTCTAACAAAGAATAATGTGGCAACAGACCATACCCATTAGCCACACAACTAGGACTGAAATTAACTCCCGGTTCCCAAATGACAGGAAAGCTCTTCTGGTATTTAGGGTGTCTTCTTCCTGTTACTGCTCATCTTGGAATGTTCTCTCTCCCTACGGAGGACAATTCAGTTCAAAGAAGGGGGTGGGGAGGAGGGATAAGCAAGTCAGAAAGGAAAGCCTTGGCCCTGAAAGCACATCCACCCCCACACTCCCCGGTAGCCTTCCAGGAGCTTTATATGCAGAAAAGCTGACAAGGCTGGGCCCCATCCAGTACTCACTTACTCCCATTAAAATGGATTTCAAAAATGTATTTTTGGCTGCATCCAGCCCGTCTTATATAAGCCAGTAGAGACACCGTGCAGGAAGAACATAAATATTCACTCCTCTAGAGCATGATAATGAACGCAAAGGCAGCCAGCAAGGACGCATTTGCCCATGATTAGCACCGTACTGATTTTTTTTTTGTCCCTCAGCTGAAATAAACGTGTATTCGACAGCTGAAGTAACGGCTCAGAACATAGTTACGAGCCTGTGGGTAGGAATTGCTCTACATGGAGCCATTAATGCCCGTGCGAATACCTAACAAAATATTAGGGTACAACCACAGTGACAAACATGCAAGCAAGCCCCCCCCCCACACACAGAGATATATGACAAACAACCTGACAGGCCAAGTTTCCCCCACCACTCTGTTTACGCACAGTAACACTGCTTGTGTCACTACGGTATGCTTCAGCCTGAGAACACACTTTGTCGTTAAAATTTTGTTTTCCAAAAAAAAAGTGGTATTTACTGGGAGTCAGCAAAAGGCCATTGTATTGCTTTGTTGCTGGCTCTCTCTGCTGCCAGATTTCCAAATTAATTTCAGGCAGGAATGCAAGTGAAAACAGTAAGAGCCCAGCTGAGAATCTTTCACCTGCACTCTCTGCTCTCCCTCTTTGAGGTCATTGTCTCTTTACTTGTTTTGATGAAGATGGACAAGAAAACACAGGCAATGAAGTCAGTGGCACTTAATCAGGTGCCTTCCCTTGGGCGTTGCCCTCTGTTTGGATGAAACTCAACCAGGTCAATATCTTCCTGCCAGGCTGAGCACTGTACTGCCAAATTAAAAGGTGACTAAGCAGGCCACCTCTGACCTATGCAAACGGCACCCTCTTTGCTACAGCCGAAGGATGCAGGGGCCAAGTGCCTAATTCTTCATAAGCCACTTTGCTTCCGTCTCCCTCCACAATCTGTCCCAGTGCAGCCTCTGGAAACAGCACTTTAGAGACTGTATCCTCACCTGGCTGACCACCAGGGATCCTTTGATCCCGGCACAAAGCAGAAAGAAGGGAGGGGGAAGGACATCTCTCTATATTACAGGCAGACTATACCAGGCTTCTTCCCCATACATCTGTTCGAAACAAAAGTTACAACCAAGACACCTATTTCACACAGTGAAAGGCAAAGATGCCCAGCTACTAGCAAACTTTTGTTGTTGTTGTTCAGTCGCACAGTCGGATCTGACTCTTCGCGACCCCATGGACCAGATCCCGCCAGGCCCTCCTGTCTTCCGCTGTCCTCTGAAGTTTGCTCAATTTCATGTTTGTTGCATCTATGACACTGTCTAACCATCTCATCCTTTGCCATCCCCGTCTTCTTTGACCTTCAATCTTTCCCAGCATCAGGGTCTTCTCCAGTGAGTGTCCCTTCTCATTTGGTGGCCAAAGTATTTGCGCTTCAGTTTCATTATCTGGCCTTCCAGGGAACAGTCAAGGTTGATTTCTTTTAGGATTGACTGATTTGATCTTCTTGCAGTCCAAGGGACTCTCAAGAGTCTTCTCCAGCACCATAGTTCAAAAGAATCTATTCTTCGGCGCTCGGCCTCCCTTATAGTTCAACTCTCGCAGCCATACATGACTACTGGGAATACCATTGCTTTGACCGTGTGGACTTTTGTTGGCAGGGTAATGTCTCTACTTTTTATCATGCTGTTTAGGTTCTCCATCGCTTTCCTCCCAAGGAGCAGGCGTCTTTTAATTTCATGGCTGCAGACACAGTCTGCGGTGATCTGGGATCCCAGGAACATGAAGTCTGTCACTACTTCCACGACTTCCCCTTCTATTTGCCAAGGGGTGATGGAGCCGGTTGCCATGATCTTAGTTTTTTTGATGTTGAGCTTCAAGCCCACTTTTGCGCTCTCCTCTTTTACCCTGAGCAAGAGGCTCTTTAGGTCCTCTTCACTTTCTGCCATTAGAGTGGTATCATCTGCATATCTGAGGTTGTTGATCTTTTCCCCAGCAATCTTAATTCCCACTTGTGATTCATCCAGGCCAGCATTTTGCATGACGTACTCTGCATATATATTAAATAAGCAAAGTGACAATATACATCCTTGTCGTACTCCTTTTCCTATGCTAAACCAATCAGTTGTTCCATATCCGGTTCTAACTGTCGCTTCTTGGCCCTAATACAGGTTTCTCAAGAGACATGTGAGGTGGTCTGGTACTCCTATCTCTTTAAGGACCTGCCATAGTTTGTTGTGATCCACACAGTCAAAGGCTTTGGCCTATATCAACAGTAGTAGCAGAGGCATTATACACACCCAAGCATCAATGGCACTCCACCATAGCCAGCTTGCAAGCTTCCACAGGCATCTGTTTGGCTGTTTTTGAAACGGAATCTGATTCAGTAAGGGAGCGCTCTTACAGGGAGAGCCTGATACATTCCCAGGTGTCAAAAAATGTTGATACCCTGAAAGCATCTCCATCCTGAGCAGCAGGAACCACCACACTCTTTGTATCCCAGTGGCTTTCAAGCACAAGATTAGCAGGAAAAGAAACACATGCCCACAGTGGTATGTACAACACTGGCCCCTGCCACACGGCAGGGGAAAAGCCTCTTAAGGCGCGGCTTTTAAAAGCCGCGCCAACGTTGAGGCGCCGCGGCGGGATCCCACGGATCCCCTGGCCACGGCGCCTTTTCTCCCCGGCGCGATCAAACGCTGGGGAGAAAACACGGCCCGAACGGGAGCCGGCCGAACTGCGCATGTCCGGGCATGCGCAGTTTGGATCCGGGCCGGGGTTGAGCCGGCGCAAGGAAGCGCCGGCGATCAAACGCCCCGGTTGCCGCGCCGCTTCCCTTTAAACCACCTAGATAGGTGGTTTAGTTTGCGGCGGCGTTTCCTGGGAATGGGACAGTTCGGCCACGGAAGCAAGACGCTTCCCAGATGTTGTGGTGTGATCGCGCCGGTTTGCTCCGGCCCCGAACTGTCCCGCTCCCGGACTAAATCGCCGTGTGTGAACGGGACCATTGTTCAACTGACTGTGTCAGAGAAAAGAGAATGTCATGCATGGATCAGAGCTACCAGACACCTAACACATCACCCCAACAGCCTTCCATGGCCAGAGCTGAGAGCCTCAAGAAGACTCAGTTGTCTTCATCTACTGCCTTGGTGTGGCAGACAATTACAGGAATTTGCCCTTCAAGGCATACCAAAAGCAAAAGGTAGAAGGAAACTCCATTCATGACTTCAACAATCCCAAATATTCTGATGTAGCACAGATTTAGAGCTTGCATCCAGTTTTCAGGTAGTGCTTTATTGGTAGTGTCTTTCTCACTTGCTTTTCATCTTTCATTCAACCATACGTGCAAGGAAGAAATACACTCCTTTCCCCTACCAACAGCTGATCTCTACTAATCAGTTCTAGAGGGTGCCAAACTAGAAAGCAAGTCATTTCTTTTTCGCTACCAAAAAAAAAAAGCAGTAGGAGGCACTACTAACAGCCACTACTAATGCTGAGCTCTTTTTAAGGACAGTTGGTAACGAAAATGTGCAGCTGTTATTTGTGGTGTCGGATTCCCCAAACCAATCCTTCAGTGTGTGTGTGTGTGGAGGGGGGATATTGCATCGTCCCAGTGCTGCAACTGCAGTACTGCACCATTATTGGAAAAAACATTCTCTCTAAAGCTTGTGGAGCCATTGTCATCACGGCATTGCCTTCAGCAGGCCTGGACAAGTGTTGTTAGCACCTATTGAGAAGGGCAGTCAAAACAACTAGCAACAAGGAATACAGACCCTAACTCCAGCTTGTGGCCTTAACATTTTTGGTGGGGGGGGGGGGGGGGAGAGGACTCGCACAAAATAGTTGAAGCTTTCAGCAAAGGGTTAGAGGAACATTTGTGCATTTTGCACAATCAAGCACTCAACAGACCATAATCAAGACTTTGCCTTGAGGTTTTGGTCAGCTATGCCACTGAGAGGAAAATGAATGCATTGAAGCATCTCCCAGACTGAACTGTATTCCAGTTCTCTTCCTACTCGAGAGCCTTCTTTGCAGGCTGAATGTCTCACTTCTCCTGTGCCAGAATGGGGAGGGGGGAGAACTGACCAACTACTTGCCCATTTCCTTTGCAGGAAGAATACCCCCCACACACCTATTCAATTCGTCTTGCTTTTGAAGGGGGGGATACTCCACAAAGACTAAAATGTAGTAGAGGCATGGCTTGACCTAATTCTCCAAGCACAATAGTGCACAAACAACAAAGAGCTGGGTTGGGCCGGGACGATAATTTGTTTACTTCACTTATACCCTGCCATTCTCCACAAGAGGGACCCAAAGCAACTTACATCATCATCCTCTCCTCCATTTTATCATCACAACAACCCTGTGAGGTAGGTGAGGCTGAAAGTACATGACTGACCCAAAGTCACCCAGTGAACTTTCATGGCAGAGTGAAGATTTGAACCTGGGTCTCCCAGATCTTAGTTTGATACTCTTCACTGCTACATCACACTCGCCCGCTGTTTCCAGTAATGGAAACTGCAGACCTCCAATTTGCTCCTCATGGGATTCCTGAGGCTCCTTGTTCCACAAAGAGAGGCAGGAAAGGGGAGGCAGGGTCGTGTCTTCCATTAGCAGGTATTATGTCAGGATCCAACCTAGTAGTTGCAAGACTCTGACGCTTCCAGTTTCACAACAGAGTCACAAGTGTCAGGAAGAACACGTGACTCATTTTGGTAAGAGATGCAGAGACAGAGAGGAAAGAAAAAGTACACAAGGGATGTGGGTGAGGATTACGGCTACTGACAGTAATTAATATGAAAATGACTGTTCAGAAGTACATCGGCTTCCCCGATTCTAATAGGATCGCAGGACACACTCTTCCAGCCCATGAAAGCACTGGCCACAAGGGGCCACCTCCAAAGTTCTAGTCCAAAAAGGCTGCACCCACGAGAAGCACCACCCGAGAAGGGCGATCTATTTCTTCACGACCTATAGCCCTATACCGTGCAAGAGAGACCTCTAACCGCCATTGGTTTTAAGCAACCAAACTGAACAAAGCCGGTCTGTGGGAGTGGGGAGGAGGCGTCTTTCCCTCTTCATTGCAGGAACTCGTTGCTCAGGATTTCATCAAGCACCAGACCTTAAAACCTATTAGCAGCAATTATTCCTAGAGTTGTTTTGACTTCTTCCCTATTGTTTTGGCGCAGCTGGTAATCACTGGCGACATTTTAATTGCTTCCAATTTGTCAGCTGCTTTGAACCTATTACAGGTATTCAAAAGGGTTCCATGAATCTCATGTCATCTGGCACCCAATAGCAACAGCTTTTTGAATACAGTCATGGATACAGCACAAGGCCCCCCACGAGGCCTACACAAGGACTGCTGATCTTTCCAGCTTTCCACCTCTCCCCATCACAGTCTTTCCCTGACCTCCGAAAAGTTTACTCCCAAGGACACAGGACTCACGTAGAGTAATAAGTCACATGGGTCAGGAGGCTGCAGTTGGGAAGGGGGAAAATTGCTTCCTGTTATTTTTTTCCATCATGCAAGAGGAATAGTTTCTCCTGACATTTCCAAAGGCTGATGGGGATAGGGTACAGCCAGAGACATCGGCAACTGACAGATCACAGGATCCAAACCATTAAGAGCATTTACTTGGCCCTTCTATGGTACAGTGCTCACTTTGTTGAAGACAGGATCAGCTCTCTCAAGTCTTGGAAACTGTGCATTCTTAGACTGCACACCAATGCTGTGAAAACCTTAACTGGAAGTCTGATGTGGTTTTATACAAACTGGAAATAGGACAAAGGACCCAGTTCAAAATGCCACAGGATACTTACTGTCTGATCTTGTCATTCTTGGGTCCAAACCTTGGACCGGATGGACCTCTCCTGTGAAGAATAAGAGATTGGATTTACACCCCGCCCTTCACTACCTGAAGGAGTCTAAGAGCAGCTTACAATCTCCTTTCCCTTCCCCTCCCCACAACAGACACCCTGTGAGATAGGTGGGGCTGAGAGAGCTCTTTCGAGAACGGCTCCTGAGAGAACAGCTCTGAAAGAACTTGTGACTGACCCAAGGTCATGCCAACAGCTGAATGTGGAGGAGTGGGGAATAAAACCCAGTTTTCCCAAAAGAGAAGAAGAGATTGGATTTATACCCCACCCTTCACTTGGAGTCTCAGAACGGCTTACAATCTCCTTCCCTTCCTTTCCCCACAACAGACACCCTGTGAGGTAGGTGGGGCTGAGAGAGCTCTGAGAGAACTGCGACTGACCCAATATCACTCAGCTGGCAGCATGTGGAGGAGTGGGGAATAAAACCTGTTTCTCCAGATTAGAGTCCGCCACTCTTAACCACTACACCAAACTGGCACCGGATATAGGAGAAGTCGTTAGATTCAACTAAGGAACAGTTCTTGTCTATTCGAGTGGCAAACTGTATGGCTGATTTAGAGACAGATATCTGGACTCTGAAAATTCTGTACAAGATAAGAATAGCACAAAGTGGGCCAGCGGGAACAGCATTTATCCTATCTTTCTGCTGCCTCAAATTCCTCAATTTTGCATTGAAAAGTTCATATTCCCCCTGACAGTAGATTATGCACAAATTCCACTGAATTTTGGAGACAAGTCCCTGATGCTGTTTACGTTAAGTGAGCAAGGTCAATTAAAGATCCACAAAAGACTTGGCACCAGGGACTGGAGGATCACCCTGTAGTGATCCATCCTACTGAATGAATTAGTTCTTGCTCCAGTCTTGCGGATACTTACAAGAAAAAGTCCTCCTCTTCATCTGAATCTTCCTCCAAGAGATTTCTCTGCAAATACAAAAGGTTCATATATCTCAAGCAACAAGTCAATGCCACTTTCATGACAGCATTTCCCTGTCACCGTTGCTTGCATAAATACACCCCAAGCCAAGAGAATGAAAATGTTTGGCCAGGTAGGACAGTCACTCACCCTGGGCTCACATTATATGATAAAGAAAGCTAACGGGCTCCATGAAAAAGATGACACACACAAACACCTACACTACATGAACTGGGAGAGAGAGCGGTCAGCTTCACTTCTCCTCCCCCGTAAAGAAATATAAGGATTGTGCTGGAGGGAAGGTCAGAGAAAAGTTTAGAAGCCCCGTTTTCTTGGAGATGATCCTCCGAGCGCTCAGAAAATTATGGCCTTAGAACTGCAGTACCAAAATGGAGGGCAGCATAATTTTGGAACCCGAGTTTGTACTGAATATGAACATGACTCAAAGCCATGGAGAATGAGGAAGTATACAGACACATTCAAGGGCTGGTTTCAATATTTTGTAATCTACTTCTTCATGTTTTTTATAGTTTCTTCCACACTAATCATTTAGTCAAGAATTGCTGTTACTTGTTCAATCACTTTTAATGGAGGATCCAGATTAGGTTGCTGGTAGCCACTTGCATTCCGGTATTTCCTCCATCTTTCTTCAGACACAATGGATTTATTAAAAAATGTAAAATGCAAGTGCACTACCCAGTTGTCCAGTACGGAGAACAAGACTGCTACTGAAGTTTCTCAGGGATACTACCCCTTTAAATTTTCTTCCTTCACTTCCAGTTTAATTAATTACTTTCTTTTTGTTGTGCGCAGAGCTGAGAGAAGTTCCAGGTTCTCATATTGTATGGGTCTCAATCTAATACCAACACACGGTAAACATATTCAGTTTAACCTGTTTAGCTTTTTCTGGTTTGGAAGAGCAACGTCCCATCGAAAGAGTGCTGGACTTCAGAGACCTATATTACACCTTAGTCACGAACCCACTTCCTGAGGCAAGACTCCTCGCAATTCCTCATCTATAAAACTAAAGTAACAGTGATCAAAGGTTTCTAATGAAAATGAATAGGACAAGATCTGTTTCCCCACCCTAATCACTTAAGGATGTTAAGTAAAATATTGAGAATATTAAAGTGCCAATTTCAGGCACTCTTATCTTGAGGGTTAAGGAGGTTCCTTACTAGTATAGCCACAATTAAGGCTGTTTCTTAAATGGGAATTTAGGTGAGACATAAAACCCTCGCACCATCCCCTACTCTATGATCCTCTGTGTGCAAGATCCAGCTTAAAATCTACAATTGGCATTAATTTTTAGACTCCCTGCAGCTTGCGGTTGTGGCTCAGTGGTACAGCATTTGCTTGGCATGCAGAAGGTCCCAGGTCCAATCCTCACAATTTCCAGTTAAAAGGACCAACAAGCAAGTGGCAGAAAGACCTACGTGACACCCTGGAGAGCTGCTATCAGAGACGATACTGATCTTGAAGGACCAATAGACTCACTCAGTTAGATGGCAGCTTCATGTGTGTGCTCTAATCAGTACTGAAAGAATTATCTCTCCATTATCTCTCATTATTAAACTATGCCTGGAAAGAACTATTTACTTGAATAATCCAGGTCATGCAATGCTAACAGCCCCCACAATATAGTTAGACAGAATGTATTGGTGAGGAAATGTCCACATATTATACCTGGTTTATTGGTTAAACATACACACACAAGCCTTTGGGTGATTTCAGATCTAAGGTACAGGCATGGCTCGGTAATGATTTCTAGACAAACTCCAAGAGCAGCAGTGCACTCCGCCACTTGCCTGGGCCAAAAGAACAGCCACCTCTGAATAAATGATACCACCCCTTCCTTCCCTCTTAGCTCTTTCAGAGCTCTTTCCTAGGGATGAGAGTACGTTATACAACTACTGTGCTAGTTTCTCTGGCCAGGACAGGGTAGCGGTGAGGTCAAGGCTGGGAAATAAAGTCCTGACAGTTCTGTGGCAGTCCTTGCCACATATTGTAATAACAAACAATAGTTGTAACAACAATAGTTCTTATTTCTGGAACTCAAGTTAATATCTCACCAGAGAATCACCACTCACTAGCTCAAATAGAGGCACAGCCTTCACACTGCATTGTGGTTAAAGTTCTTGAGGGGCAATTCTCTGGTGAGATATTGAGTTCGAGATAAGAGATATGAGAATAGTCCATACATTGGTACAATACTGGCTTGAAGAAATCTCAGCAGTGAAACAGGCACATATCTAGAAGCTTGTAGCTGAACTGACTTATTTGGAATTGCTAAAGCCACTACGGTTCTAATTGAAGGTTAATTCCTACTCAAAACCAAAGGGCTGGCTTTAAATGGACATTCTCTTCTTTCAAGTTGTGTACTGAAGTCCTAGCTCTTCTCTCAAGTTGTGTATTGAAATCTTAGTAGATCCTTTAAGGTGGTCTGGATCTTTAAGGTGGACTATATAAATTTTTTTTAATGATGAACTGTATAGATTTTGAAGGACTATATATTATCTGTATCACCTTTGTGTAAGATTGTGAAGTAGTTTCCACTAACACTATTGTTTATTACAACAGTTACCAATGTTGTTGATAACATAAGACTTTGAAACATAAATTATTAATAATACATCTCTTTATTCATATATAATACATATCGACATGGTGATTCACTATTTGCCTCCAAGCCTTGTGGATCATGACTTGGTGGAAAGGCAGCATTAAAATGTTTTAAATAAATAAAATAAGGCAAAATACATCCTCCAAGACCAGCTAAAGGTCCTCTGGCTGGACAAGCCAGCACACTTAAACCAGGCAAAGAAAGTTTCAGGCACTCACCCTCTCGCTTTTCACTGATCCGGTAACATCATCGTCATTGAGGTGGCGCTTGAATTTTGGAGGCATATTTTCACACAGGTGTTGTGTTTGCTTGCCCAATGAGAAGAGGGAGGGAAAAGTCAATACCTAGGAGGAGAAAAGGGGGAGACACTGCTTAAACACACGCACACACACCACTTAAGAGGCTTTCAGCCACAGTGTAAAGACTTAACACTTCAAAACTGGTTGCATGCTAGTACTGATGCCTTGGTCCAGTTGGCATATAGCGAATATAAATACACGAGACACTCTCATCATTTTTAAACAATGGCATATCCCTCCTTATAGTACACTATTCTCAGTTCCGTGTCAATAATGACACTCAAAATAACATTTTGATTGCACTTTTAAAACATATCGCGTCTTCTAGACAGAGTATTAGTATGGATTTAAACAAACACTCCCCAGCTCTTCAAAAGCCCTCAGTGTAGGCAGATAAACCTTTAAAAAGCCAAAATAACTTTTTAAAATTAATCTTTGTTATTGGAGAGTATTATATCACCAGTGGGGGTGTTAAATAACTTCTCCTCCCCTACAAGTTCAGGAACAGCTATAGAGACCCAAAATGTCTTATAACTTCATTCTCTCCTTCTCCATTCTTATCCTCATAGCAACCCTGTGAGTTAGGTTAGGCTGAGAGAGACAGTGACTGTCCCAAGATCACCCAGTAAATACTTTCATGGCAGCATGGATTTAAACCTGGTCTCCCAAGTCTTAGTATGACACTCTAACCACTACAGTACACTGACACTCAAGTTCAAAAGAATAGCAGGGAGAAAATCTGAAATCTGCTTCTATGGCCTGAAAAATCAAGAACTGTTTCAGTGCAACCCTAATTCTTTGTAGGAACTGCATTTATTGGATTTTGTTAATGACATTTCTGAGACCTCAACATTTCTGAAAATAATTCTAGAAAGATTTATAGGCTACAGGCGGTATCTTCTGTTGAACCACATAGGCCCCGGTCACACGGGCCGGAAAATGCGGGGGTGAAGCATGGCTGTTTGCCCCAGAGGAAAATAACGTGCAGCCGCCCAATCACACGTCCCGTCGAAGTCCCGTGGTTAGGGGGGAGGTGCTGATCACACGATGATCCTGCAGCACGGCAAAGAAGCGGCGCAGCGCGATCAAACCAGCAATCGCTAGGTGCCACTTCCGTGGCAAACGGGATGGATTTTTTTAAAACCAAAGTTTGCGCGTGCGTATGACTGAGCAATCGTATCCGCACACCGGAAAGGGGGTGGTGGGCTTACCGGAGAGGGTGACAGATGCTTCTGGACCCCAACAGAGCTCCGAGGCATAGCCAATGGAGGGGGAGGTGGCCCCCTTGTCACAGCCACTCTAACCACCTGCGAGACAGTGGCCATAGCGACCCTCCAGAGGCGGCAAGCCTGGCTACAGTGGGAGGGGGGCTCTTTGTGCGCATGCACTGTTGGGCGCTTGTGCGCATCCTGTGGAGACTTGAAAAAAAAACTGTTTGCGACGGGACATGGGCAGGCGCCGGATGCCACAGACGCCCACCGGAAACGCGATCAGACGCCCACCCTTGCCCCGTGGTTTCCGGAAACTAGTACCTCGGAGGTACTAGTTTTTTACTCCGCATCTTCGGCAGGAAGCCTCGGGTTCGCCATGGGAGCTCTACACTTCCCATATGTTGCGGTATGATCGCGGCCGGAAAATCCACCTATCATCCGTCTCTGTAGCGTGGCTAATGCTCCATGTGACTGCAGCCATAGATTTTTTGGGGGTCAAAGCCTGTTGACCTGTAATGGCTTGGCACAGTGACCTGAGGTCAAATTCAGAGTTCAGTCTGTAGCTTTATACTCAGCCTCCCATTGCCAATAGATGAAATGCAATCTTACTGGTTCAGTAGGCACTTCAGATTTCTTTGGAACAACCCTAGCATTCTTCCAGGTAAGACAGCAAAGGCATCATATTGCAGAAACAGATTAGACTTCAAGATCTCAAATCTTAGGCACAGGGGTTATTTCCTGTGGGAGTGCACAGGAGGAGCTCCGGCAGTAAGGAGCACAGGAGGCGGGCACATGCAACAAGCCCTGCCCCCTGCTCCCAGCAGCCCTCAGTCAGGCCAGGAGGAGCAAGAAGTAGCCAAGTAAATTGCAGAGCCCCCCACCGCTGGCCCGCCTTCAGGTACAAGCTCTCCCTTCTCTGTGAGGGCAGATCGGTGCATTCCCCACCCCATCCCAATAGCTAGCAATCCAAAACAGTCCAGTGGAGCCTGAGTGGTGGGTGTTGCCTTCTGACACATGTCCGGTGATGTCAGGGTGTGTGTGGCATATGCAAATAAGCTTTGCTAATGAGCTCCTGAACCTCTTTTTCTACGAAATGACCCCTGCTTAGGCACATCACTCTTCCAAGATCACAAGCCCCAGGCCAAAATCCACATACAATTCCCAGGACTACCAACAAACCCTAACTTCAGTATCCGTGGACTTTCAAAACTTAGAATCTTCCTGAAAAGGCAACTAACTGGAAACCAACTTCAGCCACATGAATCTTTCCTCCTTATCCCGCAACTTTCCTTCCACAAACCTTTATCCCTCCCCTTCACCACAGCCCTAACCCCAACTCCTCTTTAAGATACCTAGAATACATTTCCTTTCAATAAACCCCCTGCTCTCCACAGCCCCCACCCCAATCCCATCTCCTACTTCCCTTCCCTCTCACTCCCTCCTTTCAGCAGCCCCTTCTTCCTTCCCTCAGCTTCCCCACGGTATTTCAAAGCCTTCTTCTCACACCGGACTCCTAAGTGCCTCTTAAAGACCCCCTTGCTTCCATCAGGATCGAGGTGTTGTTTAAAGAAAGGTCCACCGAGCTTTTGTAGGCGATGTCAGACCTCCCCCCCCTTGCCTGTCTCGCATAATGGGGCAGGACTGGGCCCAAGGGAAACACCCCCCCCCCATTCCCACCCACTCTAACCCCCACCCTTCCACCTATCCAGGGGCCTTTCAGCGTTACCTCAGCACCCCCTGGCCACGGGCTTCCACCGGAACCTCCGGCAGCTCTTCCCTTCCCCAATCCTCCCCCCTTCCCCCAAAGACTCCCCCCCCCCCCGCCAAGTACATCCCCTCCTTCCTATCCTTCTCATTACTCCATCTCCCTTCCATCCCTCCCTCCTTCCTATTCTAGTGTCTCTTTGTTCACGAGATGTCTCCGCCTCTCCCTCTTTGTTTCCTTTCCCCGGGAAAGCCGTCCTCACCTAATTCCCGTTCAGACCCGGCACGGAAATGGCCGGTGCGCCCCGAGGATGAATCGCCGTCGTCGTCAGCTGCAGCTCCATCGATCACTCGGCGCTCCTCACAAGGGAGAGAAGCCGAGCACCCAGCTTATCGATGACAGCAGCAAGCGGCGCCGCGGAAGACTTCCTATTGGGCCCTTCCGGTTTCCGTCACCGTTCACGCCCCCCCCCCCCCCCCTATAGCGGCGGACTGGCAGGGAAAGGGGGGGGGGCTGAGTTCAGCCGGCGTCGCGCATGAGCGTTCGGTGGGAAAACCATCCAAAGAGATGCGAAAGATTTCCAGTTCGCACAAGAGCGATTCAGGTGGGGTAGCCGTGTTGGTCTGAAGTAGCAGAACGAAGTCTGAGCCCAGTGGCACCTTTGTGTTGTATTCAAGGCATAAGCTTTCGAGTGCAAGCACACTTCTTCAGATACAGCGAAACAGAATTTCATCAATCATTACATATAGAAAGAGAGAGAAAGGGTGGGGGTAAGGTTAGTTGCCAGGAGGGGCCAATTAGAATAAAGCAGAGACAAAAACAAAACTGGAAATTACTAGTCCATACATATAGGTAGAGGGTGAGCAGTCAATTATACAGCATAATGAAGAGGTTTAACAGATTCAAGGATAATAATAATAAGCTCCATTTATATGGTAACCATTTGTTTGGTTTCAATTATGGGGCAAAAACAGCGAAAGAAAGAAATACGTCAAAACTGGAGATTGTTTACTGCTCATCTTCTATCTATATGTATGGATTGGTAATTTCCAATTTTGTTTCTGTCTCGGTCTTGACTGTAATTGGTCCTTCCTGAAGAAGTGTACTTGCATACGAAAGCTTATATCTTGAAGACAACTTTGCTGGTCTTAAAGGTGCCGCTGCTGAACTCAAAACAGTTTCTGCAAGGACAGAGACGCCTGAGATCAACTCTGCCCTGTTCCCTCTGAGGCTGCAGGACTTTCCAACAGAAGCAGACAAAAAGACCTCTAGATGAAAACTTGAGAGTTTCTTTCCTCCTCTCTCCTCCCTTACAAAAAGAGCTTGATGAAGAGATCTGGAGGACTCAAAAGTATGCACGTTTCTTTCTTTATTATTTTTTTAAAATTATTTATTTAAAACATATTTATGCTGTTTTTCCACCAGATCAGGATCCTGGTGAGCAATTAAAAGCATTTAAAATTATAAAATAATTCTATAAAAACACTTAAACAAACAATAGTAGATCCAGGGAGGACAGCCAATAACCGTTATTGGGGGTATGCCAACTTAAGCATGTTAGTCTTCACCCACTGGCAAAAGACACTGATAGAGGGAGACAGATTAATCTTTCTGGGGAGGGAGTTCCAAAGTTTTAGTGCCACGGCCTAGAAAGCCCTTTTTTGGGTTGCTACCCATCTAACCTCAGATGGCAGAGGCTACCAAAGCAGGGCCTCCAAAGATTACCATAGTGAACAGGTAGGTTCATATGGGAGAAGGCAGTCCTTAAGGTACGTCAGTGCCTGCCAGGCCATACAGGGCTTTAAAGCCCTTTGAATTGAGCCCAGAGGCAAACTGGAAGCCAGTGTAGATGGAAAAAAACTGGAGTGATATGGTCCCTTTGACTCACTCCAGTCAACACTCTGGCGACAGCATTCCGTACCAACTGCAGCTTCGGGATATTGTGTGGTTTTGGTTGGTCTTAAAGATAGTACATGGTTTTTGTGCAAGTGCTTGGAGCCCGTGCTCTGTTTTGTAACTTCAAATTGTGCTGTTTTGGTTCGTCCTAATAACGTTTCTTTGCTTTTTTATATTTTTGCTACTTGGAAATCCTAACAGAGAAAGTGTGCACAAGTCAAAAGCTGGCATTTGTTTTCTAGGCCTGCAAAATGTGTAACTGACCCTAGTCGGTAAGCAGTAAGCCCCGGACGTTCGGACGCAGTGAGGATAATTTGGGAACTAAGGAGAGGTGCCTGGCAGAGGAAAGGGCAGGGCCTGGGAGCTGGAGTGGGAAGGTGACAGAGTGGAATGATAGTAGATAAAAATGGGATTGTCTGTACCTGGTACGGAGGAAGTCCTTGGCAAAGGCTTTCCTCAAACCAACAGGAAAGTAGGCCAGTCTTTCCATTTTGCCACTTTGTCCTGAGATTTTGGTCTCCTCTCTGGAGTTCTAGGCTGCTGCTCTGCATCTTCAAATCCAGGTCTGCTAGGATTGCCAGTCTCCAGGTGGCTCCTGGAGATCTGCTATTACAATGGATCTCATACGACACAGATCAGTTCCCCTGGAGAAATTGGCTGTGTTGGAAGGGGGGACTGTATGGCATTGTACCCTGCTGAGGTCTCTCCCCTCACCAAACCCCATTGTCTCAAGCAGAGGTCATTTCGGGGGGATCGCAGTTCCCCCGGGTGAGGTACAGGGGGGCGGGGCACACGACAAAGCCCCGCCCCCCGCTTCCAGCCCTCATTCAGCCAGGAGGAGGCAGGAGAAGAGGGAGGGTAAGTTGCTTCCTCCCTGCCTCTCCCCACCCCTGACTGCCTGGGGCCAGGAAGGGCCTTCGTGGGGCTTCCTTGCACTCCCGCTGGCCTTGTAGGTCCACCGCCGGGCCCCTCATTTGCTTTCTTGACCCCAGAAGTCCTGGTTCTCGTGCCTTTCATGGTCTATATTGTTTTAAAGAATTAAATATGTATTTTCCATATAGCTAGAGTTGAATTTATTTTTGAACAACTCTTTACTTAGCTGTATCTGGTACTTTCCCAGCCATTTAGTTACCATTCCTCTTGCTTGCCAGCCAGTGTTTTGTAAAAGTTAGTGACGTTGCAGTAACTGGATTAATGTTACTTCGTTGTTACTTTTTCAGGTATGTGGTCTGATGTAATTTGGCAAAAAAAGTGTGTTTTTGTGTTTTACATATTATTAGACATACAGTTCCCCATATCCTGAGCCATTGAGATAATATTTATTTGAATATATATGAAACCCCAAGCTGGACATAGTATCCCAGATGTGGTTTTACTGGTTTCTGAGCAGAATTTTCGCTTCCCTAATATTGTTTCTATTAATATAACCTTTTTGTCCTATTAGTAATAATCCTTTTACAATAATAATACATTTCTCATGGCCAAGTTATCATAATGTATGACAAAAATTATAGCTTCCTGTTTATAAGGTCAGCAAGATCACAGTTCAGTGTGCACAAAACTAGAAAATGGCATGCCATTTCTAATAGGTTCCCCAGATATTTGTAGCTACCCTTTAAAAGTGCAAATGTCCAACAGAATTGCACTGCAAGTGTACTTTTCTGGAAGTAAGCCCCATTGTATCAACTTGAATAGAAATTGAAGTAAACCTGTTGAAGATGGGATGGCTCTTTTGGTCGCCCTGCAATCATACATGGCCTTAATGACTTTTTGTGGAGTATTAAATAATAAGCTGGGACTTAGAGGATTTACATTTTGTAGCTGGAAAATGCATTAAGATATAAAGGTTGAGAGTATCTGGTCCATTTATTCTCTGTATATCTATTTATATCAGAATAATTTCCATCCGTTTATCCAGCAAACTGCAACAAAGCCTTGGTATTTCTCCAAACAAATGCACAAATGGCATCAGATTGTGTTTTGACATACCTCACTGTTAACTCTATTGATTTGAGTAATAACACTCCAATTTCACTGACTAATAGAAGCTGTTGGGATGCTCCTCAGGGTAGGGACCTCTCCTATTTATTCATCTCAGATAATCTATATCCTGCTTTTCATGGCCAACGACCTCCTCAAAGTGGCTAACAAATTATTTAAGCATTGCGATAAAATAGCAGCAGTGTCATTGTAAGCAAGGTTACGCCCTTGAAACTGATGGGTTTAGGAGGGTTTAACTCTGTTTAGGATGCGACTGCCAGCTGTGCATTCAGCAATTCCTCTTCTTCCAGAGGAGAGGCGGGCTGGCAAGAGCATGGGCTACAGCTGGATCCTGCTAAACCCTTGACGGCAGCTGATCTTTTCTGCCTCTTGTTTCTGTACTGCTATAATTTGAAATGATGATAATCTGCATTGCAGATCTTCCACTGGGAGGTTTCGTGCAGAAGTATTTGTTTTCTTGTGAATTCCGGTCCTCTTTAAGAGATCAGTTTGCTCTTACTTGTGAAAATCCCAAGTGAATATTGTATGTAGTCGAGGCTGCCGTATCTCAGAAGGATATTGCAGAGCTGGGGAAAAAACACAGAAGAGATCAAGGCAGATGATTAAGGGGTTGATGATGATTAAGGAAGATGATTAAGGAAGCACCTTTCCTATGAGAAAAGGCTAAAGAGTTTGAGATTTTTCAGTTTCAAAAAGACAACTAAGGGGGACATGGTACAGGTTTATAAAATTATATTTGAGGTGGGGAAAGCGGCTATGGGCGACTTGTTGTTTCTTCATAATACAAGATGTCGGGGACGCCTAATAAAGTTGTTGGGCAATAGATTCGGGATAGAATTCTGTATTCAAGGAGTAATTAGATTGTGGAATTCACTGCCAGCGGATGCAGTGATGGCCAGGAGCACAGATGGCTTTAAAAGGGGATCAGACAGATTCATGCGGAAGGGGCATATCAGTAGCTCCTAGTCTAGTCATGATGACAAAAGGGAACCTCCACATCCAGAGGTAGTAAACCTCTCAATACCATTTCTAGGTGGAAACATCAGGGGAAGACCTTGGCCTCCACACCTTGTCTTCCCAGGGCAGCTGGGTGGGCCACTGTGTGCTGCGGACTAGATGGACCACCAGTCTGATCCAGCAGGGCTCCTCTTATGTTATGTAATACAAGGGAGGAAGCTGCGCAATATATGAGCATTGTTAGTGATGTACATAACAATGATGATCAGTTAGTGGTTTCTTTGTACATGATTGCCCAGTTGGGTTGAACACAAGAAGGTAACGGCTTCCTATCAGTTAAACTGCTTTGCTGTTTGCAACATTAAGCAGCAAATCGCCCTAAATCCTACCAAAGAACAATAACATTTCTGCTCCAGGACTGTCCCCTAATGGGTTTTAACAGGCTCCTGCTGCTCTAGGTTGTTTCTATTGGAGCAGAGAGAGAGAGTGGGAAAGAGCATGCCAGGAGGGGGGCTGAATTCCTGATTGTTTTTAA